CATAGATTAAGACTATGTCCTCCTCTTTGATGCTACATCATATGCACTTGATTTCTACCTTGCCCCTTCTCCCCTCCAATGTTAGGATAGGATCTTAGTACTTTGAAAGGTGTTGTTGTTTGTCCTTTGTTTTCTAAGAGGACCATTTACATCAAGAGTGATCTCTTGACTTGCAAGTGACTTGGATTTAAGTGAGGTAGAGTTGTACAAAATCATCAGCCTCACTCTTTCTCCCTGAGTCCAGTGTCAAGACAAAAGTTAGGACAACTGTGGATGGCCCAGGATACAGAGGATGACTTTGGCATCAAATGTTAACTAATATAACCCCCTAATTTTTTTTTACAGATGAGAACACAGAGGCTCATAATTTATATTTATAATAGTGCCATTTGCAAAATTGGTTCTCTATTTAGTATAAAAGAAAGAAGCAACTACCATTGGGATTCAAAGGGGCTTGGGATACCTTGCTCTATACCCAGCCATGTGCTTTGTATGCCAGGTTCATAGCTTTCAGGTTTCCTGAAATACAGGAATCAGCTTATCAAGGACTTTACCTTCCTCCCCATAGTCCACCCCTCACTTCAGATTCTGAAGAAAAGTTGCTACTTATAGAGCTGAAAATTATAGAAAAATGGTTAGGGGCTAAGAATCTAGGTTTTCCCCAGCAAGAGGAAAAAGTGAAAAAAGGTACACAATGTACGAACATGAATCAGATACAGAACAGGTCGTTTATTCCTACTTAGAAACAGGAATAAGTATTAAAGAATCATAGACTGATTAGAACAGAATCCAGTAAATTATCATTACTTGTATAGTTCATTGGAAGGCTAATATTTAAGCCTACTGTATGCCAGTGAATGTTTATCAACCAGCTCTCAGAAGAAACGCTATGCATAGCACTTTTAAATTTAAGCTGCATTATTATTTTCTCCATCACTTTCTAAAGTCTGGACAATCATCAGAATAATAAATCAAGTTTTGATTTGTAGCATTTGCCCATTCCTGAAGTGTAAATACTCGATGAAAACTTAACAAACTAAAACTTAACAATTAGCTCTCTCAGGATGCAGTTCAAACTGGCTTCAGCACACCCTTGCTCCACTTTGCAGAGGAACTGTGATGCTTCCTTCCCATCAGGGCCACCTCAGAGCCACCTGAATCCTGAGTCTCAATGATCTGGTCCATGTGGGCAGTAAGCGATGTAAAATCTTTTTGGTTCATAGTAGGCCTCTTGATATAAGATGGTGGTGATGGGCAGCTACAGCACCAGGGACAAAGCCACAGCATGGATAATGACATTTCTAGCACACTCAATTCTTCGTCACCCATAGGGGTCATCTATAGTAAAGTGCCTAAGAAGTCATAAGCCTCCTATATGCAACATGGATACATGCATGGCTATATGCAACATGTCCCATGATTTAAGTTAATTCTGAGGCATTGCTATTTGCTTAGTATCCTCTGCCTCACTCTTCAAAATCTTCCACTTCCTGGGAACCACACCAGCGGGATGATAACATATATTTGTTTCCTAGATGCTTATGAGGAGGAGCTACACTCCAGCCTCCACCATGGCCAAAATAGGACTCTCCCTCCCTCCCCTTGATACACTGACTCAGAATTACTGCCAACTCAATCTAGATCAACTTTTTTCCAAGTAAATACACATTTAACACAGTTATATAATGATAGTTTCACTTCTTCCATGTTGTTATAACAGAAAGGAAGTCACCCACTAATAATACCATTCTTTGGTCTCCCAAGCCTTTTCTGGGAAAGAATTGCTCAAATCATCCCAGAGAAAAGGAAGGGGGACCTGACCTACTTCTCCAGAGCAAATGGAGCCCATTATTAATGGGGCAAAGACCTTGAGGTCCAGGCAACTCTGCTAGAAAGGAACAATGAAAGGTAGAACTATGTCCAAAAACAGCCCATTCTTATCAGGTAAATCTTCCTGGAGATTGGATTCAAGACATAGCACTAGACCAGAGAGCCCTTCTCTTTCCTAGGGTGGCACTGGTTCATCACAGACATGGCTGTTGGGAGGTTGTGCCTCTGATCTGGGCAGACTGGTTCATGACAGCTGCTGACTAGCAAGGATAAAACCTCTTGCTCTGAGATAGAGTAAGTGGGTCGTTTTGCCAGCTGGGGACAGATTGAGGGTCATTTTGGTTACATGGGTACTCTTAGCTGTCACACAGAGCCCAGCTGGGCAGGAATAATTATCTACTTCATCCTTTGTTAGGGGAAACATATACAGTCCTGCACCCAGCCCAACATGACATCACCATCCCAATATTCAAATTGGCAACATTCCCACTTCCCAACCTCTGAGGTTCTTGTAACAGCTCCGACTTGGTAGTTTGATTCATCAGCAAGCATTTCACCACTCTGGTAGGTGCCAACAAGTTCCACAAACAACCATATGTAGTGGACGGCACTGACAAAATTCCTCCACTGGTTCTGACCCCCAAAGGTGACTGTACTTTTGATTGTTCAGTCCTGTTCTTTCTAAGCCCTAAAGCACTTGGCCGGTATGGGAATTAGTAAAGATGAAGACCTTTTCTTCCCCATCCCTTCAAGGTTCTTTCAAATCCAGCCATACAACTTGGAGCTCAACCCAATGGGAGGAGGTCTTTCCAAGAACAGAGTATATTTGTTACCAGGTTAGTGGCTACTGAAATCCAGTTACTTGTGCCTCATGAAGGGTGGAAGTCATTGGTAAACCAAGCAAAATGGCATTTCTCAGGATGTCATGTAACCTTATAGTTGTTTTGGGCTTTTTGGGGGGGAGGGGTGGTGGTACATATTGGGCTAGCAGAGGAGACAGGATTTCCAAGGCCTGAAATGGAGGCTTCAATCTTTGGCATAATTGCAACATGGTTTTGGAGCACACTACTAACACAGAAGCAATTGGGGCAAGCACAATTTTAAATGCACCACTTCCAATTAACAGTAGAAGCTTCTTGTGCCTAACTCATATCCACTGCGCCACCTAGCTTCCCTTTACTCCTTACTAATTAGTCAACCACAGGGATAGAGAAAAAAGCATTGGTTGGGTAATGTTACCCCTTCCTTACCACTCATCCTGGGCCTGGGCTACCTGGTCTACAACATTAATGAGGTCAGAAGCAGCTATAGTGATGGGCTTGATGACTTTGTTTATCTCCCTGTAATTTACTGTGAGCAAATGCCAAACAACAGACATCTGCCTACCTCCCAGGCCACACAGGGTTATTTAAGGGGAGTTGGTTTCATTGTCTTCTGGCTCAGGTCTCAGAGTGATGTAGAGAAACTTCTAGATTAGAGGTTTCCTACTGGAGATATTTCCCACTGGATTCCCCTGTCAGTTCCCACCCCAATCATCAGAGCTTCTTTTACTTGCTCTATTAGCAAATGATTACTCCCTTTGTTTTTCGTTTTTGTTTTTAACGGTTTACAAACAATAGTTAGGAGTGAACCTGACTCAGGTTGGTACAGTTAATTCAGGTTTTGTGCTGGAACAAAACAAGGCACTCCTAAGTCATTCAACAGTTAACAACTTAGCCATATCACAAAAAGGATATTCAAAACAAGGACACAATTACCTTGGACAGATATGGTTCCCCTTGTCTCTATATGGAAACTTATCTAGTCTGCAGGGTAACATGTGGTGACTCCTGTGGCCTTGGAACATCCCCAAAGTCTGAAGGACCCCAGTTTACATGGTGAGCCAGATAATTATGGCCAGAGACTACCAGGAAGCTGCATCAAGGCAGATGCCTTAGCCCCCTGACCCAACCAGGTCTCAGGGACAACTTTTTTTTACCTTTGGGGGGAAAACTAGCCCAACTCATGTCTTGGAGAGAGAGGTGAACCCTAGTAGATAGTGGTCCTATTACACCATCTGTTCTAGATTTTGCCCAGTTCCATAAATCAAAGTCCTGTTCCTCTGCTACATAAAATGTTGATAACCCTTTTTATGGAAGAGACTGGGGTTAGTGCAAACTTGGGTGTGTGCTCTAACTCCATTAGATCAAACGCTAAGAGCAGAAGCTATATATATCTCCTTTGTGCAAAGAAAGAGGCTGTCTTTTGTGGCTTCAGATCAAGACTTGTGGGCCAAGCCAAATGTTTATTTTTGAGATCAATCAACAAGTATTTATTAAGCATTTACCACGTATCCAGCACTAAATTAAATGGTGGGGATACAATTAAAAATAAAAAATAGTCCCTGCCCTCAAGGAGCTTAAATTCAAATGGGAGATGGGGAGTGTACTTTTAATTTTTTGTTTCCTATTACTTTTGGTGCATGTGGGAAAGTAGAAGTTAGTTGATGTGCATGGAATATCACAGTCTTGATATGTTATCATTAAGTTTTGTAACTGGCTGAGTGAATCCAGGAAATTAACTATATTTAGTAGCACAGGCAGCTACAATCCACAATCAGCTCAGCTGATGGAAAGACATCATTCTTATCATGGTCCAGAACAGGGGCAGGGCACGAAATCCCTAGCCTGGATTTAATCCAACAAATTCATTATTAGTCATGTGACTGTAGGTAAGTTTAATTTTTCTCTCTTGGCCTCCATTTTCTTAAGATGTACAATGCAGAGTTTAGCTAAGATGATCCCTGGGGTCCCTTCCAATTCTAACACTTATATTCTGTGAATTCAACAAATATTTATTTTAAGCTCCACTGTATCTCAGGAGAAACCTGTCTTCTTGAAGCTTACAGTCTAAAACACAAATATGTCACATAGCATAGTCAGTTCTATATGAAGTCTGAGGGTAATATTTGATTTGGGAATTATAGCTCTAGATCCTTGAGGAAACTAAGACTGGTGAGCTTAAGTATGCCAAGAACACTGTAAAGACTGGGTTTCGAACATAAGTCCTTTGACTGGACTGGCAGTGCACGCCTCATGGTAGGTACCACGTGACCTTCAAAAACCTAGCTCAGATATCCTTTGAGCCTCAGGCTTCCAAGTGCTCCCCTTCTGCGCATGCGTAGGACTGCCTACGCGCCTGAAAGTTGTGTCGCTGCGTCCGCGCGCACGGTGGAAAAGGGGGCCTAGAGTAGGTGGCGTGCACTCACGAGTCCCAAGCGAGCTCAAGAGGTCATGACGAGCCCGCTGGCTTCACGAGGGGTTTGCTCCATGGAGCAACGATTAGCGGCGTTCCGGGCCTCTCGGAAGCGAGCCAAGCTAGAGGGCGGGCCCAACAGCTCAGGGAGGAGCGGAAAAACACCTGGAGAAGACGTGGCAGCGCCCTCAACGCCGTCCCAGGCGCAGGGGGCACCGGGCGATAGAGCCAAGGTGAGACAGGCACACTACTGAGGGAAGCCCCGCCCTCCTCCCCCAAAGACGCCAGCATAAGCTCCGCCCTCTTTGGGGGAGGGTGACGCCATCCCTGCCTCGTGATTGGTTTAACGTCCCCGCCCCTGTCCAGATGATGCTGTCACGTTATCTTGGAAGGAAGGAATAGTTGTGTCCTGCTGCAGCTGGCGGCTGTGAGAAGGCCAGATCTGGATGCACTTGGTGCTGGGCCTTGCCGCCTTCAGCCCCTAGTTGTGCATCCAGCATTGAAAATTGAAGTCACTCCTCTTTTCCATTTCTTTGTAGGGAGGGCATCCACCCCGTTGCTAAAGAATAGAGAGGGAAATGGGACTTGTGGAGAAAGCAGCATTGGGGTTTTTACTCTTCCGGGCAAGTTGTCATGTTTAAGATTCGTTTAAAGTGGCATTCTGACCCTTTTTAGGGTGCTTGGCTTAAAAATGTGTGAGCTGTAAACTCGGCCAATGGAAGATGATAAAATAGTGTCAATTAAAGTAACTAATGGGGCAGCCAGGTGGTGCAGTGGAGAGAGCAGGGGGCCTGGAGTCAGGAAAACCTGAGTTCAGATTTGGCATTAGACCCTTCCCAGCAGTGTGACCCTGGGCAAATCACTTAACCTCTGTGTGCCATAGTTTCCTCATCTCTAAAATGGGGATAATAATAGCACCTACCTCCTCAGATTATTGTGAGGATCAAATGATAATAGTTGTAAAGCAATTAGCACAGTGCCGACACATAATAAGCACTATATAAATGTTAGCTGTTACCATTAGACTTAAATTGATCCCTGTTTGAAACAAATCCATTTCAGAATGCCTAGAGTTGGGAAGGACCTTGAACACTCTTATCCAGTCCCCTCATTTTGCAGAAAACTGAATCTCCATACAGCTAATAAGTAAGTGGCAGAGCCACGATTCTAACCAAGGCCTGCTGATATCAAGGCTACTGCTTCTTCCAAAATGATCTGCTTTAGAGACAGGATTTGGATATTCCAAAACACTTCGCTGGCAAGGGACAGCTAGTGAATGCTGTGTGCTTCCATGACTTTTAAGCCAGAATTGCAGTGTTTGTATGACTCCATTCAGGGAGGAGAAAACCCAGTGTTTTGAATTAATATGTCAGCATTTTAAGTAATAATATATTTTATATAGCACTCCAAACTTGACAAAGCAGTTTTCTTCATAACCACCCTATTATAGGTAGTGTAAGTAAGTAAAACTGTCTCTCCCCCTACCACACACACACCCTCCTCTCCAATCTCCAAAGATAAAGTCTCGGTGAAAGTAAATTAAATAATACCACCAGTGTTGTGGATGGACTTTGAGTCAAACCATTCCATTTATGTTCTTTATTAGTCAGTAAACATTTATTAATCACCTTCTATGTGCCAGACACTGTGCTAAATGCTGGGGTTACAAAAAGAGGCAAAACACAATCCCTGCCCCTCAAGGACTTTACAGTTTAATGGTGTGAGACAGCATGCAAACATATACAAAGTAAGTTATATACAGAATAAATAGGAGATAATTAACAGAGGCAATAACAAATAAATAATAGAGGTACTGGAATTAATAGGGGTTGGGGAAAGTTTCCTATAGAAGGTGGGATTTTAGTTGGGACTTAAAGGAAACCAAGAGTGTTCCAAGCATGGGGGGCAGCTAGAGGAAATGCCTAGAGCTGAGAGATGTGGGATAGCTTATTCATGGAACAGCCAGAAGGCCATTGTCGCTGGATCGAAGAGTTATGTGTTGGGGAGTGAGGTGTAAGAAGACAGAAAGGAGGGAGGTGACTAGGTTACAAAAGGATTTGAATGCCAAGCAGAGAATTTTTTATTTGATCTGGGAAGTGAAAGGAAGTTTATTTAAGGGGTTGAGGGTGACATGGTCAGACCTGCCTTTTAGGAAAATCATTTTAGTGGCTGAGTGGAGGATGGATTGGAGGGAGGATAGCCTTGAGGCAGGCAGACCCTCCAGCAGGCTGTTACAATAGTCCAGGCATGAGATGATGAGGGCCTGCACTAGATTGATGGCAGTATCAGAGGAGAGAGGTGAAATTGACAGGTCTTCTTAGTAGATTGGATATAAAGTAGGGGAGCAGGATGAGAAACAGGGAGAAGTAGAAGGATGATACCTAAGTTATGAGCCTGAGGGACTGGGAGGATAGTGTTACCCTCTACAGTAATAGAGAAGGTAGGAGGTGGGAGGGTTTGGGGAAAAGATAATGAGTTCAGTTTTGGACATGTTGAGTTTAAAATGTCTATTGGACCTCCAGTTGGAGATGTCTGAAAGGCAATTATGGGCAAGCTGGGTGCTGAAGTGGATAGAGTGCTGGGCCAGGAATCAGGAAGACTCGTCTTCATGAGTTCAAATTTGACCTCAAATACTTGCTAGCCGTGTGACTCTAGGCAAACCCTGTTTGCCTCAGTTTCCTCATCTATAAAATGAGCTGGAGAAGGAAATGGCAAACCACTCCAGTGTCTTTCCAAGAAAACCCCAAATAGGATAACAAAGAGTTAGACACGACTGAAAATGCTGAAACAACAACAGTGAAAGACAATTGGAAAGGTGACATTGCAGGGCAGCAGAGAGTTTGGGGCAGGAAAGGTGGATTTGATAATCATCAACATAGAGGTGATAATTAAATCCTTGGGAACTGATGAGATCACCAAGTAAATTATTATTGAGGGAGAAGAGAAGAGAAGGGAAAGGGGGCTCAAGACAGAACCCTGAGGGACACTTATGGTTAGAGGATATGATCTGGATGAGGATCCAGCAAAGGAGGCTGAGGAGGAGTGATAATCAATAGCAAGCATTATTGCTGAAAAATATGGAAGTATAATATTTTATATTCAGAAGAACTTAAGGTTTGAAAGGTAGTTGCTTCTCCCCCTCACATTTTAGTAAGACCTAAAAATTTGCTTTTTTAAAAGCATCGAAGAACAAATGTACATTTTCCCTTTGTCTTTTAACACTATTTTCCATAGTATTAGACACACTTAAAATTGTAAAACATCTGATTTTAGGGAAATATAAATTTTTTTTTGTCAGGGAGAACTTGAGGGAGCATTATTCAGTTTTTGATTGAGTGTGACTTTCCAGAGTACTGCTAGTTCTATGTGAAATACAGAAAGTAGCAAAAAAGATTCAGCAAGGAACAGTCAAAACAATCTATTTTCCTCTTATGTATTTTTTTCCTAATTTTCTTTTGTGAAGTTTATTGTTGATTAGAGTTCGTTTTAGCAAACAATTGCTTACAATTTCCTGAGTAATTTTGTTCTTGATCCTGCACAATTGAAAGCCAAACTTTTAATAGCACAATCAGTTCCTTGGCTGTGTGTCTTGTTGCCAAAGGATTATGAGATCATTGAGTCAGACAGATATATAGACCCAACTCTGAAAAAGCCTCCATTATTAAAAACCCAAATACTGATAGTGTGATACAAGAAGTAGTGGAAAATGCTAGCTATCAGGTTGGTCATTATTAGTGCTGCATTTTCATAAGGCAATCTGTTCCCAATTCCTTTTCAGTGACTTATCATTTTCTCTGGTGTGAAAATTCTCATTTAAATCCTTTTTTTTTCTTCTAATTTGCAATCCATCTCTATTTTGCAATTTCCATAGAATACTGTAGCTTATCATAGATTTCCTGAGCCTTCCTTTTGTAATGACTTCTTTTCAGTTAGTTATTGATATGAAGCATTCTTCATTACTTTTTTTTTAGTGCATCCTAGATTATGTGAAGCAAAATTAGACTTAACAAAAGTAAAGCATTATTTCTCTCAACGACAAGGCTAGCAGTGTAGGTGAAAAAATTTTTATTCTTTGTACTTTCAGAAAGCAGAGAATGTAGAACTATCTTGAAAAACCTTGGGGTAGGAAAGTTATTAAATGTTGCAAGGAGATTGAGCGTCATCTGTCTTTAAAATTGCATAAAAGGTAACTTAAGGTTTTTTTTCCTAATTTTCTTCTTCCTCTACCTGGAATTATCTTAAACTTATGGATCATCAATATTATTAATTTATTTATTATTATAATTTATTACCTACTTTTTTAACAATAAAAGGGTAATTTTTATTATGTTTCCTTTTGGCTTATGATAGGGATATATTTGATCACACCTGCTATGTATTAAGGCTTATACAAGGTATTAACATGCTCCCTACCTTTGAGAGACTTATAATCTACTTGTGGTAGCAAACAACATAAAAAAGGTAAATAACACTACAAAGTAGCAAATAAATAACAGAACAGGACCTTCATTAACATGTACAGGAATTCCCACAGCTTCCCTTCTCTCCTGGGGACTGACTCCTGAAGGTCCTCACCCCCAACTTTTTGTTTTTGCCTATAGCGTGTTTTTTTCCATAGTCTACCATCACAGGACGAAGGACGGGGAAGGCATTGATACACTGCTACCTCCCCTGAGGCTGGCAAACCCTCACCCCCTGCTTCTTTAATCCCCTTGACTCAATTCCCCCCTACTGAGGCCAAACCCCCTTTCTCCTATTTCCATTCCTCATATTCTGATACCTCTCTAGTTCAGTCCTCTCCCCTTTCAGTCTTTTTTCTCCTCTTCTTCCTCATTCCACTGTGCTCTTTGGACCACTGCTTCCCTCTACCATCTCACCACTCCCCTCCCTCATCTTTAGATATCTTCATTATATCTTTCCATCTTTTTGAACTTAATAGAAACTCATCCATCTCTGGAATATACTTTATGCCAGGCTGTGAGGTGAGATAAAACACCTCATCATCAGTGTTGCACCTTCTCTCAGACCCCTTACAGATTGGTCCAAGAGAAAGAGAGAGATTCCTTGTTCCCCACGGCCATTTCCAGGATTTTTGCCTGCTGCCGTGATTCTTCAATCCCTCTTACTCCATTCGTTCCATCCATCCATATCACTTGATCCAAATCTTTGTTATGATAATTTGTTAACCACTAGGCCATACTCTTTCCTTTCTCAACAAAGTCTGTACTTGCAG